TCCCTGGAAGTGTCCAAGGCCAGGCTGGATGAGGCTTGGAGCAACCTGGTCTAGTGGGGGGTGTCCCTGCCCATGGCAGGGGGGTTGGAACTGAGTGGGCTTTAAGGTCCTTTCGAACCCAAACCAGTCCATGATTTTACTTCTATCTAGAAACTCTTTTGCACTCAATGTTGAAAAACTTTGATAGTTAGTCTGAAATTTCCTTTGTTTTTTGCTTGTGTCTCTTTGCATGTGACTTAAACTCTGGTTTTTCTATGCAATCAGTTCTTCCTCTAATAGATGAAATGTTATTAAAGGGGGAAATTTGTGGCTCTACGGTGTTAAAGGACATTCCCCACAAGAGGGAGCTGAGAGTGACAGCTCCCAGTGCCTCCTGCTTTGCGCTCTATAAAGTTGTTTTCAGTCTCTTGGGCTTTTTCTCATAAGGTCATGTTTTGAGTTGGTCTTGAAGTAAAGGATGGTAATTTTCTCTAATTAGATTGGTGAAGACGTAATTGTATGGAAATATTTTTGGTATACAGAGCCAAAGTTGTTTGAAATAGTGATTTCTGACAGAAATCCTTTTAGAAAATGCTCCACTTCTTACGTCAAATATTATTTGTACTACTACAAATATCAACTGTACTACTTCTGCTCTTTCTTTCCTCTGCCTCCTCTGTCCACTTCCAAAATAAGACAGTCCAGCACAAGTTGGCAGAAATGAAAACGCAGATCTGCGTGGGCCGAGCTTTTATGGACAACTGCTTGCAGCTGCATGCGGACAAACGCCTGGACTCCTCCACAGCTTCTATGGCAAAGTACTGGTATGTGGTTAAAGGAATCGCAGTGTTACTTGCGTGGTCTTCTCAGGAGTCTAATGGTGAAAACACTGAACTGTTCAGAACAAATGAAGAGCGAAGATTGCTGTCCGATTAATAACGCTGTCGGCTTCTGCTGGAGACCACTGGCTTTACCTGTAATGGTGTAGTCAATGGAACTCCTGGCTACCTTGAAACAGATCAATGCCAAAATAATAGCACGCTTTTAAAATAGGCTGCCATTCCTAACAAGATCAGGCCCCGGCTTTAGCTTCAGGTGAAGCGAGTACTTCATTGGGATTTATACAAACATTTACCTCTTACTGTAACACATTTCTGTTTTGGTTTGATTTTTTGGGTTGGTTTGTTTAATGGGGGGGTGGGGTTTTGTGGAAATTTTTTTTTTTTTAAAGCAGAGGTTTATTTGAAGCTCAGATGATACCTCTTAGTTAATGTTGCTTAGCAATAGCTGTTTGGCCCAGCCAGTTTTTGAAGCCGTCTGGTTTTGGGAAGAAACAGTTGGCTACAGCTATTGCTGGAAGTGAGGCTAAACAGTGCTTTCCTTTATTGGCCAGAACTCCTCCTCCCTCTCCCATACTTGGTGGTGTTATCTGTTAACTTAGGCTTAAGCAGAGAAAGTTGGATGAGTAAAATAGTGGCACGTGAATTCATACAGTTTTATTTTGCTTGCAAAGTTAGGAGTAAAAACCACACTGGACACAAGCAAATAATTTTATGGAAGATGCACAGCTTTACAGTTTCTAGACCTATTAAAATAATGAGCTGGGAATACTAAAGCAATCCAGAGAGGCTGTTTACAATGAAGGGAAGGATTTTGATGGTGTGCTGTTCCTGGCACTGGTTACCTAGAAGTACCAGGTACATAAGCAGAGGCATTTGGTGAGGAGGAGGAGGAAACAACTAGTGCCGGCTCAGATATGTAGGCTGACTTCCTCAAGAACTTTCCCAAAGCGAGGCATTTGAAATTCCCCTGCCCTCCGAACTGTTTAGCACCACAACTTCTTCTGGATTTCCCCTTTCCCTAAGGGAAATCCTGTGACTCTCTTCTGTAAAACTATCTTAGATGGTTTAGAAAATGCTTTAATGTAGAATGGCTTTATTCCCTAATGTTTCAGGAGACTATCTGCAGTTAATTTTGCTTCAGACCTTTTATATAGTCAGTGACTTTAGAGCTTTGAAAGATTTTAAAACATTGTTTCTGCATCTCTTTTCTAACATTGATGAAAGGTCTGTAGGTTTTATTTTGTGGTGACAGGTGGTATTATATGCCTAAATTAATTTGAAAATATATTTAGGAAAGACAGTAACTCACCACTGCACACTTCAAGTTGTTATAATAAACTGCAAGAATTTAAGTGGATCAGGGTATGGTTTGGAGAAAAGAAATCTTAACTGCTTTTCATGGAAGAATGTGACTTGATTCATCCTTTTTTAACTTCAGTTGCCACTCTGAAAGTTGCACGCATAGAAAGTGTGTTTTTTTCACATCTCAACTTTAGCTTGAACCTCAGCGAAGCGAAAATGACAGTGAGCAATCCTGTTCAAGAATTACAGTATTTTTTAGGATTGAAAACTATAAGATCTGTTGAGGGAAAACAAATTATCTCCAGGTGATGGTTATACTCAAAGAGCATCCTGGTGTGTTGCTAGTGGGAGTAAGGGGGGGAAGTCTGTGACACTGTTAATTTTTGACAAGGCTGAGAGATTTGGTAAGAAAATATATCTACTTGCTTTACATAAGAAGTCTCTTGGCCTGTGAGAAAGGTAAACAAGGCCTGTTTGGAAAGCTTTCCATCTCCAAAACATCTTCTATAAGGAGAACAAATCTTTAAGATGTTGAATCGATAGTAGTTATTTCTTGCCAGTCATGAAGGACGAAAAAGTTCCATTCAAAATGTTAACGTACTTTTATGGCCAGCGTTTAAGTTCAGTTACATAGAGTAAAAAGCTTCATTGCGTTCTCATCTTGCTACCTTATTTGTGTCTCTAGTAATGTTTCACAGCATAACATCCTTCTAAAAACAAATTTCTTTTTGGCCATTTAAGGTCTTCTGATCTCCAAAACAGCGTAGCTACACAGTGTGTCCAACTGCACGGAGGCTGGGGGTACATGTGGGAGTACCCGATTGCAAAGTAAGTGGAACACTTCAGACTTGAATGGTGAAATGAGGCTCTTCCCTTACCTCTACTTGTCAGCTGCTTTGTGTTGGTACTGATTTACTGTTCCTTTTCTCATCGTGTTTATTGAAAGGCAATCTACTGTACAGATGTCTGCAGGAAGGCTTTGTTTTGATTCTCCAAATAATTCACAAGCTGTTGAGCAATCGTTACCTATTTTTTTTTCCCAAAATAGAAGTTGCTTTTCTAGAAGAAAGTGTTAATTGAAAAACCAGAGAAGCAGTGTCAAATTAAAAAATGGGGCTGCTAGTTCGTATGTTTTTATCTGGAATTACATACATACGTATGAAGGAAAGAAAACATGTTGGTCAGCCTAAAGCTTGTGTAATACCACAAAATAACAAATTGCCTAATCAAGAGCATGACTGCTACTGTTCAGTGCTTTACCCTTTTAAATGAAAAAGCTAGGAGGTTTATATGTAGAAAGAAAAATTTGCCATTCCCAATGTTTTGCTTACTTTATGAATTTAGAGACACTTATGGAGTTCTTTTATGCATTTCATTGTGTGTTATCAGTGAAGGTGTGGTTCCTTCTGTGTGCATGCTATTTGCCACGCTAGAGTTTTTGGTGCTGTTATTTTTTTATTTAAAGGCAGTAATCTGATAGCAGAAATAGCAAAAACAGGACTGCTGTGCAGTTGTCATAAGTAGGTAACTTAAACTCACTTTTTAACTGAGTAGGTTTAGATTTTTTTTCTAAATATATTGACAGTATGAAATGTTGCTCTAAAATAACTTTTTCCTGCAAGTTGTTGAGTGTAATTTGTGAGTGAACAAAGAACAAGCCCTGTTCATGGTGTCCCCTAACCCCTCCTTATCTGCCAGTGCAGTAGACGTCCATACAGGGCTTCGTTATCCCCATGGCTCAGCAACACGTGTGCTTCCAGAGAATGTCGTGTTGCTCCTGGGCCGTTATCCCTGTAATGAGCCAGAATTAAGATGGAAAAGCACACTGTCATCGCCCTGTGTGCTGTTACCAGCTGTGCATGTGCTGGGGCCGGTTCCAGCATGGGGATGGAAATGGTTTGCCTGCATGCAGCTTTCCGGCTGCTGGCCCAAACGGAGCTGGAGCTGGTGTCAGTGGAAGGCTGTAGCCAGCTGATGGGGAACCAGCTGGCACTGTCTTTTCCTCCCGAGGTGTTTTGAGTCCCACCTCCGAGAGAAAACTGACAGCCCCGTTTGCAGTCCTCTTGACAGGATCAGACAGGCCAGGCCATTAGAGCAAATTACCACGATAACTATCAGCTTGGCTCTGCAGGAGTTGTTTTCTCACAACAGCGAGGCACCTGGGACTTGCGGCGCATGCAGGCGTGCTGCTCGGCGGGATGTCTGGTGGGGGAATGGGGGCTTTGGTGTCCCGAGTGGTGTTAACGCTCAGGTGGTGTGAGGAGAGGAGGGGACAAGAATTGGGGTTGGGCGGACGTGGTAGGAGTCTGGTTTTACAGAACTGTATTTTTGTTGAATTAGGGGTGACAGTGAAGACTAAACAAAAATAAAACAGGGAAGAGAGAAGGTCCAAATGCCTAGTTTGGCACAGTGTCTTGGAATGGTGAAGTATTTTAGGTAGTTAAAACCACTTTGAAAATGTGAACCTCTTTAAAAATGGGAATAGCATACTCTGAAAAGCGGGATCTTCAAGGGTAAAACTCGTTACCTTTTTCTTTTGTTTATATGTCCATTCTGAGTTTTAATCTTTCCTTGTTTTGTTTTGGTGTTTCCCCCCCCCCCCCCCTTTTTGTGGATGCCCGTGTTCAGCCGATCTATGGTGGTACCAATGAAATAATGAAAGAACTTATCGCTAGAGACATTGTCAGTGACAAGTAGGGCAGATGCTTACTACTTTGGAGGATCTTCCAGAATCCACCAAATCAGACATCAGAATGTAAGTAAAATAAATGGGGTGTATTGTATTCTTTCAAGGAAGTGATACTGTTTAAAAGGAAGTGTTGGCAGCAGCAGTGTGCTCATATGCAGGATATCTAGTATTTAATGAGCTTTCGTTTTAAGTATCTCTGGACAACTAATTCTCAGGGTTCCACAAGGTCTGGTAGCGAAAGGCAGTTTTCAGTCTGGAACGCCGTGGGTTCTTTCAGACTCGATGCCCTTACATTGAATTTAATCCTCGCTCTTTGCAATCAAATCTCTTCCTCGCGCAATCCGCATTCGTAAACATTTAACCTTTGCTCATTTGTTAATATAAATTTGAATTTGTATTTCCCTCTGACAAGTGGCACTGTGTCCAAGCAGAACCTGAAGCTTGTGCTGCCCTTACCCACCCGCCTGCTTCCCGCACCACCTGCTCCGGCTGTGGGGGACGTAGGGCCCTTCTCTGCGGGCCGCTCTTGTTTACATGTAACCCAGAATGCCTTATCTTAATTACTTTGTTCCAACAAATAAAGTATTTCTATGCACTCTCAGGGTTGTCTGCGTTACTTCAGAGCCTGAGGGAGCTTCCTCTGTGCCGATACTCCCCTCAGGGCCTGTGAGGGAGAGTTCTGAGGTGAATATTCCCGAGTTCGTGTCCCTAGCAACAATGCTAAAAAAGACTTTTGGGCAACTTTTTTGGTTATTTACGCCTAGGGGGTTATATCTTCCCCTCCCCTGGAGCAGGGGGCAGCGCTGCCCGGGGCGCACGGTGCCTTCCCCCCGCCGGGGAAAGGGGACACTGCTCC